TTTGCTTCTCTTAGCTTCGCTTCGCTTCTCTTTGCTTCTCTTCGCTTCGCTTCTCTTCACTTCGCTTCGCTTAGCTTAGCTTTGCTTCGCTTTGCGTAGATTCGCTTCGCTTAGCTTTGCTTAGCCTCGCTTAACTTTGCTTCGCTTAGCTTCGCTTAGCTTCGCTTTGCATCGCTTACCTTCGCTTCGCTTAGCTTTGCTTGCCTGTTCTTAGCTTCGCTTCGCTTTGCTTAGCTTCCCATAGCTTCGCTTAGCTTCCCTTCTCTTCGCCTAGCTTAGCTTCTCTTTGCTTAGCTTTGCCTAGCTTTGCCTAGCTTTGCTTAGCTTTGCTTAGCTTCGCTTCGCTTCTCTTAGCTTTGCTTAGCTTCTCTTCGCTTCTCTTTGCTTCGCTTTGCTTCGCTTCGCATCGCTTAGCTTCGCTTCGCTTTGATTTGCTTCGCTTCGCTTTGCTTAGCTTCGCTTAGCTTAGCCTAGCTTTGCTTTGCTTAGCTTCGCTTTGCTTAGCTTCGCTTCGCTTTGCTTAGCTTCGCTTAGTTTTGCTTAGCTTTGCTTCGCTTTGCTTAGCTTCGCTTAGCTTCCCTTCACTTTGCTTAGCTTCGCTTAGCTTTACTTTGCTTCGCTTAGCTTCGCTTCGCTTCACTTAGCTTCGCTTCGCTTTGCTTAGCTTCGCTTAGCTTCCCTTTGCTTCGCTTAGCTTCGCTTAGCTATGCTTGGCTTCGCTTAGCTTCGCTTAGCTTCGCTGTGCTTCGCTTACCTTCGCTTCCCTTAGCTTTGCTTCGCTACGCTTAGCTTCGCTTCGCAAGCTTCGCTTCGCTTCTCTTCGCTTACCTTCGCTTCGCTTCGCTTTGCTTCTCTTAGCTTCGCTTTGGTTCGCTTAGCTTCGCTTCGCTTCTCTTTGCATCTCTTCGCTTAGCCTCGCTTCGCTTTGCTTAACTTCGCTTAGTTATTTTTCGCTTTGCTTAACTTCGCTTTGCTTCGCTTAACTTCGCTTCGCTTCGCTTTGCTTAGCTTCGCTTAGTTATTTTTCGATTTGCTTAACTTCGCTTTGCTTCGCTTAGCTTCGCTTCGCTTTGCTTAGCTTCGCTTCGCTTCTCTTTGCTGCGCTTAGCTTCACTTCGCTTGGCTTTGCTTCGCTTCCCTTAGCCTCGCTTCACTTCTCTTAGCTTCTCTTTGCTTCGCTTAGCTTCGCTTGGTTTCGCTTAGCTACGCTTCGCTTCGCTTAGCTATACTTTGCTTCGCTTAGCTTTGCTTGGCTTCCCTGCACTTCGCTTAGCTTCGCTTCGCTTTCCTTAGCTTTGCTTCGCTCCGCTTAGCTTCGCTTAGCTTTGATTCGCTTCGCTTAAATTGGCTTAGCTTCGCTTCGCTTCGCTTAGCATTGCTTCGCTTCCCTTAGCTTCGCTTCGCTTAGCTTCGCTTTGCTTCTCTTAGCTTCAAATAGCTTCGCTTCGCTTCCCTTAGATTCGCTTAGCTTCGCTTCACTTCTCTTAGCTACGCTTAGCTTCGCTTAGCTTCGCTTCGCTTCCCTTAGCTTCGCTTCGCTTTGCTTCCCTTAGAATCTCTTCGCTTAGCTTCGCTTCGCTTCGCCAAGCTTAGCTTCGCTTAGCTTCGCTTATCATCGCTGCGCTTCACTTTGCTTCGCGTAGCTTCGCTTAGCTTCGCTTAGCTTCTCTTCTTTTAGCTTAGCTTTGTTTCGCTTCTCTTAGCTTCGCTTCGCTTCTCTTCGCTTAGCTTCGCTTCGCTTCACTTAGCTTCGCTTCACTTCCCTTAGCTTCGCTTAGCTTCGCTTCGCTGTGCTTAGCTTCGCTTAGCTTTGCTTCGCTTCCCTTAGCTTCGCTTCACAACGCTTGGCTTCGCTTCGCTTCCCTTAGCTTCGCTTCACAACGCTTTGCTTTGCTTCGCTTCACAACGCTTAGCTTCGCTTCGCTTCTCTTAGCTTCGCTTCCCTTCTCTTAGCTTCGCTTCCCTTGTCTTCGCTTCTCTTAACTTCGCTTCGCTTACCTTCGCTATGCTTCTCTTAGCTTCGCTTCGCTTCTCTTTGCTTCTCTTCGCTTCGCTTCTCTTCACTTCGCTTCGCTTAGCTTAGCTTTGCTTCGCTTTGCGTAGATTCGCTTCGCTTAGCTTTGCTTAGCCTCGCTTAACTTTGCTTCGCTTCGCTTCGCTTAGCTTCGCTTAGCTTCGCTTTGCATCGCTTACCTTCGCTTCGCTTAGCTTTGCTTGCCTGTTCTTAGCTTCGCTTCGCTTTGCTTAGCTTCCCTTAGCTTCGCTTAGCTTCCCTTCTCTTCGCCTAGCTTCGCTTCGCATCCCTTAGCTTCGCTTAGCTTCTCTTAGCTTTGCTTAGCTTCGCTTCGCTTCACTTCGCTTCTCTTCGCTTCGCTTCGCTTTGCTTCTCTTCGCTGCTCTTCACCTCGCTTCACTTCACTTTGCTTTGCTTCGCTTCGCTTGGATTCGCTTCGCTTCGATTTGCTTTGCTTCGCTTCACTTCGCTTTGCTTAGCTTCGCTTCGCTTCACTTAGCTTCGCTTAGCTTCCCTTCGCTTCGCTTAGTTTCGCTTTGCTTCCCTTAGCTTCACTTAGCTTCGTTCTCTTTGCTTAGCTTCGCTTTGCTTCACTTAGCTTCACTTCGCTTAGCTTTGCTTCCCTTTGCTTAGCTTCGGTTAGTTTCGCTTCTCTTCGCTTAGCTTCCCTTCGCTTCGCTTAGCTTCGCTTTGCTTCCCTTAGCTTCGCTTAGCTTCGCTTCTCTTTGCTTAGCTTCGCTTAGCTTCGATTGGCTTTGCTTAGCTTGGCTTGGCTTCGCTTGGCTTCACTTAGCTTCGCTTAGCTTCGCTTCACTTAGCTTTGCTTTGCTTACCTTAGCTTCTCTTAACTTCGCTTCGCTTATCTTCGCTTCACTTCGCTTAGCTCCGTTTGGCTTCTCTTAGCTTCGCTTAGCTTCAATTCGGTTTGCTTTGCTTCGCTTCGCTTCTCTTCGCTTCTCTTCGCTTCGCTTCGCTTAGCTTAGCTTGTCTTAACTTCGCTTCGCTTATCTTCGCTTCGCTTCGCTCAGCTCCGTTTGGCTTCTCTTAGCTTCGCTTCGCTTTGCTTCGCTTTGCTTTGCTTCGCTTCGCTTCTCTTCGCTTCTCTTCGCTTCGCTTCGCTTAGCTTTGCTTCGCTTTGCTTAGCTGCGCTTAGCTTCGCTTGGCTTCGATCCGCTTAGCTTCACTTTGCTTTGCTTAGCTTCGCTTAGTTTTGCTTAGCTTTGCTTTGCTTCTCTTCGCTAGCTTCCCTTCGCTTTGCTTAGCTTCGCTTAGCTTCGCTTTGCATCCCTTAGCTTCGCTTAGCTTCGCTTAGCTTCTCTTCTCTTTGCTTAGCTTCGCTTGGCTTTGCTTAGCTTCGATTGGCCTAGCTTGGCTTCACTTGGCTTCGCTTCGCTTCGCTTAGCTTCGCTTCGCTTAGCTTCGCTTCGCTTTGCTTAGCTTCGCTTAGTTTCACTTAGCTTCGCTTCGCTTCGCTTCTCTTCGCTTAGCTTCCCTTCGCTTCGCTTAGCTTCGCTTAGCTTTGCTTCTCTTTGTTTAGCTTCGCTTAGCTTCGCTTTGCTTGGCTTCGCTTAGCTTTGCTTCGCTTCTCTTTGCTTGGCTTCGCTTAGCCTCGCTTGGCTTCGCTTAGCTTTGCTTAGCTTCACATAGCTTCGCTTCCCTTAGCTTCGCTTCGCTTGGCTTCGCTTTGCTTGGCTTCGCTTAGCTTTGCTTCACTTCGCTTCGCTTCTCTTAGCTTCGCTTTGCTTCTCTTCGCTTCTCTTAACTTCGCTTCGCTTCACTTCCCTTAGCTTCGCTTAGCTTCGCTTTGCTTAGTTTTGTTTAGCTTTGCTTAGCTTCGCTTAGCTTCCCTTCGCTTTGCTTAGCTTCGCTTCTCTTTGTTTAGCTTTGCTTAGCTTCGCTAGGCTTTGCTTGGCTTCGCTTGGCTTCGCTTAGCTTCGCCCGCTTCGCTTAGCTTCGCTTTGCTTAGCTTCGCTTAGCTTCGCTTCGCTTCGCTTTGCTTAGCTTTGCTTTGTTTTGCTTAGCTTCACTTCGCTTCTCTTCGCTTCTCTTCGCTTATCTTCGCTTCGCTTTGCTTAGCTTCGCTTAGCTTCCCTTTGCTTCGCTTAGCTTCGCTTTTCTTCCCTTAGCTTCGCTCAGCTTCGCTTAGCTTCGCTTCTCTTTGCTAAGCTGCGCTTAGCTTTGCTTAGCTTCGCTTCGCTTAGCTTCGCTTTGCTTCGCTTCGCTTCACTTTTCTTTGCTTGGCTTCGCTTCGCTTCCCTTAGCTTCGATTCGCTTCTCTTAACTTCGCTTCGCTTAGCTTCGCTTCGCTTCTCTTAGCTTCGCTTCGCTTTTCTTTGCTTCGCTTCGATTCTCTTCGCTTCTCTTAACTTCGCTTCGCTTATCTTCGCTTAGCTCCGTTTCGCTTCTCTTAGCTTCGCTTAGCTTCCCTTCGGTTCGCTTCGCTTCTCTTTGCTTCTCTTCGCTTAGCTTCGCTTCACTTTGCTTAGCTTAGCTTGGCATCGCTTCGCGTATCTTCGCTTAGCTTTGCTTCGCTTCGCTTAGCTTCGCTTTGGTTGGCTTACCTTCGCTTCGCTTCGCTTAGCTTTGCTTAGCTTCACTCTGCTTCGCTTCGCTTCGCATAGCTTCGCTTCGGTTCTCTTAGCTTCGCTTAGCTTCGCTTCGCTTCTCTTCGCTTTGGTTCGCTTCACTTAGCTTTGCTTCACTTAGCTTTGCTTCGCTTCACTTAGCTTCGCTTCGCTTCTCTTTGCTTCGCTTCGCTAAGCTTCGCTTCACTTAGCCTTGCTTGGCTTCGCTTCGCTTAGCTTTGCTTGGCTTCGCTTCGCATCGCTTACCTTTGCTTCGCTTAGCTTTGCTTGGCTTTGCTTAGCTTCGCTTCGCTTTGCTTAGCTTCGCTTAGCTTCCCTTCGCTTCGCTTAGCTTCGCGTTGCTTTGCTTCGCATCCCTAGCTTCGCTTAGCTTCGCTTAGCTTCGTCTAATGGGTCAGGTACATGAGCCTAGGTCAGTCCACGAGGCGCTGAACCGTCCCGAATGGGTTGAGTCCATGCATGAGGAGCTTGAGTCTCACAAGGTAAATGGATCATTTGAGCTGGTTGATCCAGCAGTGGTACCACCTGGTTTGGAGGTCCTCAGGTGTCAATGGGTTTGGAAATACAAACATAACCCTGATGGTACCGTTGAGAGGCCTAAGTCCAGATTGGTGGTGATGGGAAACATGCAGAAATTGGGAGTACACTATGAAGAAGTGTACTCTCCAGTTGGGAAGCATGCGACCTTGAGAGGTATGCTTGGAATTTCGGCTGCTTTGAAGCTTGACATCCATCATATGGACGTCAAGACAGCCTTCCTCCATGGGGATTTTGAAGAAGAGCTTTACATGCGGCAGCCCCCTGGTTTTGATAATGGGTCTAACCGAGTGTGTCGCCTCAAAAGGTCCATTTATGGGCTGAAGCAAGCCCCACGACAGTGGTACCTGAAATTTGATGAGGCTCTCATGGATTTTGGGTTTGAGAGATCTGAGTGTGACCCTGCCTTGTACCACTTTGTGAGAGATGAGGAGAGGATCTCCTTATTCCTCTATGTGGATGACCTTTTGCTCCTATGCTCTAGTAAGGTTTTGTTAGATCGAGTGAAAGACTTCTTGTCCTTACGTTTTCGCATGAAGGACTTGGGGCAGGTGAAGTACTACTTGGGAATGCAAATTGAGCGTGATGAGAGTGGTATCTTGATTCATCAAGAGAGGTACATTCTTAACATGCTTCAGTCCTTTGGTCTTTCAGAGGCCAACCCCGTGCGTACTCCTCTGCCGACAGGCTTTGATGTGCATGCCTATGAGGATGAACCTTTGCTGAGCTGGTCAAGCTCTACCAAAGCATTGTGGGATCCCTCATGTATGCTTGTACTACCACACAGCCGCAGATTGCATTCGCAGTCTCACAGCTATCTAAGGTCGCCTCTTGTCCTAAAATGTTCCACTTGCAGGCCGCTAAGAGAGTGCTGAGGTACCTGAAAGGTGGTGTCAAGTCAGGTATCTTCTTCCAAACACAGCCCCAATCTCAGGTCCAGCTGGTTGGCTTCAGTGATGCCGACTATGCTGGAGATTCCGCAAGTCGCAAGAGTCACAGTGGGTATGTGTTTTGCCTGAATGGGGCAGCTATCTCTTAGCAGAGCAAGAGGCAGCCCGTGGTGGCACTCTCTACCACTGAGAGTGAGTACATAAGTCTGTGTCAGTGCATTCAGGAGGGTGTGTGGCTGAGGCGTTTGTTTGGGGAGTTTGGCCATGCTCATACTGGTGGTGTGACTGTGTTTGTGGACAATCAGTCTGCCATTGCCCTTGCACAGAATGCATGCTTGCGTGGCCGCACCAAACACATGCAGGTCCGGTGGCATTTCATTTGGGAGATGGTGGCTGCGGGAGAGGTGATTTTGCAGTGGTGCCCCACCAACCGTCAGGCTGCTGATATCCTTACCAAGGCTCTTCCATTTGAGCGCCATGGTGTGTGCATGACCTTGCTCGGGATGCAGCCCCATGATGACCGGGTTCCCGCAGCAGATGCCGGCGTCTTGGTGCTCCTCTCCTTGGCGGACTCCATGCTCTGGGTGGCCCCAACCCATGGACAAGGGGGAGTGGTGTGAAGTCTTTTGCCCTATGGTGTTGAGCCACACCCAGCACGAGCAAGGGGGAGTGATAAATGTGTATTATTCTGTGGTGTAGTTTGCTCTAGCTGGTTGTGGGCTATTGGGTTTTGGGCAAAAGGAATTGGGCTGGTTGGCAAGGTTTGAACTCGTTACATTACCAACACATACAACCTCAAACCCACTACAACATCTTTGATGTTGCAGTCGCGGCACTTGAGAGTTTTGGGGTTTGGTCTGGGGCAAGGGTTGGTGGTGCTTGACAATCACATACTGCAAATTTTCCAGATCGAACTGCTTCCCTTCTCGTTTTTACTAGGTGATTCATGGCTGCCTAGCCAAATTACCAGAATATCCCCTCACACTGATTTCGTCATAATCGGCGGCTCAGATCTTGGTTATGAACGTGCTTTACCATTCTGGAAAGTAGAGATTAAGACCTTTCCAACGCATATAAGCTCATTTCTAGAAATTACCTGAGTTGCAGGCAATGTTCTGTTGAGATCGTCAAACTTAATCTCTAATTAGTTCTCTCCAGATTTGCACGATTTCCATCACTCTTCGCTTCACTTCGCTTCGCTTCGCTTCGCTTCGCTTCGCTTTGCTTCGCGTCGCTTCGCTTAGATTTGCTTCGCTTAGCTTCGCTTCGCATCGATTAGCTTCACTTAGCTTCGCTTCGCCTTAATAAGCTTCGCTTCGCTTCGCTTTGCTTAGCATCGCTTAGCTTCGCTTCGCTTAGCTTCGCTTAGCTTCTCTTCGCTTAGCTTCGCTTCGCTTGGCTTCGCTTAGCTTCCCTTAGCTTTGCTTAGCTTCGCTTAGCTTCACTTAGCTTCGCTTTGCTTCGCTCAGCTTCGCTTGGCTTCGCTTAGCTTCGCTTGGCTTCGCTTAGCTTCGCTTCGCTTTGCTTAGATTCGCTTAGTTTTGCTTAGCTTCGCTTCGCTTCGCTTAGCTTCGCTTAGCTTCCCTTCGCTTTGCTTAGCTTCGCTTTGCTTCCCTTAGCTTCGCTTAGCTTTGCTTAGCTTCGCTTCTTTTTGCTTAGCTTTGCCTAGCTTTGCTTCGCTTAGCTTCGCTTCGCATCGATTAGCTTCGCTTCGCTTCGCTTCGCTTAGCTTCGCTTCGCCTTGATAAGCTTTGCTTCGCTTCGCTTTGCTTAGCATCGCTTCGCTTAGCTTCGCTAAACTTCGCTTCGCTTAGCTTCGCTTCGCTTGGCTTTGCTTAGCTTCGCTTGGCTTCGCTTAGCTTCCCTTCGCTTTGCTTAGCTTCGCTTAGCTTCCCTTAGCTTTGCTTGGCTTCGTTTGGCATCGCTTACCTTCGCTTCGCTTAGCTTTGCTTGGCTTTGCTTAGCTCCGCTTTGCTTTGATAGCTTTGCTTAGCTTCCCTTCGCTTCTCTTAGCTTCGCTTCGCATCCCTTAGCTTCGCTTAGCTTCGCTTCGCTTCTCTTAGCTTTGCTAAGCTTCGCTTCGCTTTACATCGCTTCTCTTCGCTTCGCTTCGCTTCGCTTCGCTTCGCTTCTCTTCGCTTCTCTTCGCTTCGCTTCGCTTAGCTTCGCTTCGCTTTGATTAGCTTCGCTTAGCTTCGCTTCGCTTCGCTTTGATTAGCTTTGCTTCGCTTCTCTTCGCCTCACTTTGCTTCGCTTCGCATTGCTTAGCATCGCTTAGCTTTGCTTCGCTTAGCTTCGCTTCGCTTAGCTTCGCTTCGCTTAGCTTCGCTTTGCTTAGATTCGCTTAGCTTCGCTTGGCTTCGCTTAGCTTCACTTCGCTTAGCTTCGCTTCGCTTTGCTTAGCTTTGCTTAGTTTTGCTAAGCTTCACTTAGCTTCGCTTCGCTTGGCTTCGCTTTGCATGGCTTTGCTTAGCTTCGCTTAGCTTCGCTTAGCTTCCCTTTGCTTCACTTAGCTTCGCTTTGCTTCCCTTAGCTTCGCCTAGCTTCGCTTAGCTTCGCTTCTATTTGCTTAGCTTCGCTTAGCTTCGCTTAGCTTCGCTTGGCCTCGCTTGGCCTCGCTTAGCTTCGCTTCGCTTGGCTTCGCTTTGCTTGGCTTCGCTTAGCTTTGCTTCGCTTCGCTTAGGTTCGCTTTGCTTCTCTTAGCTTCCCTTCGCTTCTCTTCGCTTCTCTTAACTTCGCTTCGCTTAGCTTTGCTTTGCTTCGCTTCGCTTCCCTTAGCTTCGCTTAGCTTTGCTTCACTTCGCTTAGCTTCGCTTTGCTTCCCTTAGCTTTGCTTCGCTACGCTTAGCTTCGCTTCGCTTCTCTTAACTTCGCTTCGCTTTGCTTTGTTTAGCTTTGCTTCGCTTCGCTTGGCTTTGCTTCACTTCGCTTAGCTTCGATTCCCATCGCTTAGCTTCGCTTCGCTTCCCTTAGCTTCGCTTCTCTTTGCTTAGCTTCACTTAGCTTCGCTTCGCTTCACTTAGCTTCACTTGGCTTTGCTTGGCTTTGCTTAGCTTCACTTCGCTTCGCTTCTCTTAGCTTCGCTACGCTTTGCTTAGCTTCGCTTAGTTTCGCTTAGCTTCCCTTCGCTTCTCTTAGCTTTGCTAAGCTTCGCTTCGCTTCACATCGCTTCTCTTCGCTTCGCTTCGCTTCGCTTCTCTTCGCTTCGCTTCGCTTAGCTTCGCTTCGCTTTGATTAGCTTCGCTTTGCTTAGCTTCGCTTCGCTTTGATTAGCTTTGCTTCGCTTCTCTTCGCCTCGCTTTGCTTCGCTTCGCTTTGCTTAGCATCGCTTAGCTTTGCTTCGCTTAGCTTCGCTTCGCTTAGCTTCGCTTCGCTTAGCTTCGCTTTGCTTCCCTTAGCTTTGCTTAGATTCGCTTAGCTTCGCTTGGCTTCGCTTAGCTTCACTTCGCTTAGCTTCGCTTAGCTTTGCTTAGCTTTGCTTAGTTTTGCTAAGCTTCACTTAGCTTCGCTTTGCTTGGCTTCGCTTTGCATGGCTTTGCTTAGCTTCGCTTAGCTTCGCTTAGCTTCCCTTTGCTTCACTTAGCTTCGCTTTGCTTCCCTTAGCTTCGCCTAGCTTCGCTTAGCTTCGCTTCTATTTGCTTAGCTTCGCTTAGCTTCGCTTGGCTTCGCTTAGCTTCGCTTCGCTTGGGTTCGCTTTGCTTGGCTTCGCTTAGCTTTGCTTCGCTTCGCTTAGGTTCGCTTTGCTTCTCTTAGCTTCCCTTCGCTTCTCTTCGCTTCTCTTAACTTCGCTTCGCTTAGCTTTGCTTTGCTTCGCTTCGCTTCCCTTAGCTTCGCTTAGCTTTGCTTCACTTCGCTTAGCTTCGCTTTGCTTCCCTTAGCTTTGCTTCGCTACGCTTAGCTTCGCTTTGCTTCTCTTAACTTCGCTTCGCTTTGCTTCGTTTAGCTTTGCTTCGCTTCGCTTGGCTTTGCTTCACTTCGCTTAGCTTCGATTCCCATCGCTTAGCTTCGCTTTGCTTCCCTTAGCTTCGCTTCTCTTTGCTTAGCTTCACTTAGCTTCGCTTCGCTTCACTTAGCTTCGCTTGGCTTTGCTTGGCTTCGCTTAGCTTCACTTCGCTTCGCTTCTCTTAGCTTCGCTACGCTTTGCTTAGCTTCGCTTAGTTTCGCTTAGCTTCGCTTCGCTTCTCTTTGCTTCTCTTCGCTTAGCTTCCCTTCGCTTCGCTTAGCTTTGCTTAGCTTCGCTTCTCTTTGCTTAGCTTCAGTTGGCTTTGCTTAGCTTCGCTTGGCTTCACTTAGCTTCGCTTGGCTTCACTTAGCTTCGCTTCGCTTTGCTTAGCATCGCTTCGCTTCTCTTCGCTTCTCTTTGCTTCGCTTCGCTTAGCTTCACTTCGCTTCGCTTAGCTTCGCTTCTCTTTGCTTAGCTTTGCTTAGCTTCGCTTGGCTTTGCTTGGCTTCGCTTGGCTTCGCTTGGCTTCGCATCGCTGAGCTTCGCTTCGCTTTGCTTACCTTCGCTTAGTTTCGCTTAGCTTCGCTTCGCTTTGTTTAGCTTCGCTTAGCTTCCCTTCGCTTAGCTTCGCTTCCCTTCGCTTAGCTTCGCTTAGCATTGCTTAGCTTCGCTTAGCTTCGCTTAGCTTCGCTTTGCTTCGCTTCGCTTCCCTTAGCTTCGCTTAGCTTTGCTTCGCTTCCATTAGCTTTGCTTCGCTACGCTTAGCTTCGCTTCGCTTCTCTTGCCTTCGCTTCGCTTCTCTTCACTTCTCTTAACTTCGCTTCGCTTCGCTTTGCTTCTCTTAGCTTCGCTTAGCTTCGCTTCGGTTCGCTTAGCTTCGCTTCGCTTCTCTTTGCTTCTCTTCGCTTCGCTTTGCTTTGCTTAGCTTCGCTTCGTGTCGCTTAGCTTCGCTTCGCTTTGCTTAGCTTTGCTTAGCTTCGCTTAGCTTCCCTTCGCTTCGCTTAGCTTTGCTTAGCTTTGCTTCGCATCCCTTAGCTTCGCTTAGCTTCGCTTAGCTTCTCTTAGCCTTTGCTAAGCTTCGCTACGCTTCACTTCGCTTCTCTTCGCTTCTCTTCACTTCGCTTCGCTTCTCTTCGCTTCTCTACGCTTCGCTTCGCTTCTCTTTGCTTCGCTTCTCTTCGCTTCGCTTCGCTTTGCTTCGCGTCGCTTCACTTAGCTTTGCTTCGCTTAGCTTCGCTTCGCATCGATTAGCTTTGCTTAGCTTCGCTTCGCCTTGTTAAGCTTCGCTTCGCTTCGCTTTGCTTAGCATCGCTTAGCTTCGCTTCGCTTCGCTTCGCTTAGCTTCGCTTCGCTTAGCTTCGCTTCGCTTGGCTTCGCTTGGCTTCGCTTGGCTTCCCTTAGCTTTGCTTAGCTTCGTTTAGCTTCACTTAGCTTCGCTTTGCTTTGCTCAGATTCGCTTGGCTTTGCTTAGCTTCGCTTGGCTTCGCTTAGCTTCGCTTCGCTTTGCTTAGCTTCGCTTAGTTTTGCTTAGCTTCGCTTCGCTTCGCTTAGCTTCGCTTAGCTTCGCTTAGCTTCCCTTCGCTTCGCCTAGCTTCGCTTTGCTTCCCTTAGCTTCGCTTAGCTTTGCTTCTTTTTGCTTAGCTTTGCCTAGCTTTGCTTAGCTTTGCTTGGCTTCGCTTGGCCTCGCTTATCTTCGCTTCGCTTCGCTTAGCTTCGCTTCGCTTGGCTTCGCTTTGCTTCTCTTAACTTTGCTTAGCTTCGCTTCGCTTAGCTTCGCTTCGCTTCTCTTAGCTTCGCTTTGCTTAGCTTCGCTTCTCTTAAATTCGCTTCGCTTAGCTTTGCTTCGCTTCCCTTAGCTTCCCTTGGCTTCGCTTGGCTTCGCTTATCTTTGCTTAGCTTCGCTTCGCATAGCTTCGCTTCGTTTGCTTAGCTTCGCTTGGTTTCGCTTCGCTTATCTTCGCTTCGCTTCACTAAGCTTTACTTCGCTTCACTTAGCTTCGCTTCGCTTAGCATAGCTTTGTTGTGTGATGTCATCATATGCTATCACATTCTGTCTGCCTCCCATCCCATATTTTTTCAACTTGCATGTGTGGTTTGAACGTGTGCAAGAATTTGTGTGTGATGTGTTCTGGAGTTTGGGAATGTGTTTTGTGTTATTTTGTTTGAGCAGGTTTTTTGTGATGATAGATCTTGAGAAGATCTTTCCGACGCAACGAGAATCCCTTCAATCGGAGCAAGAACGCGAAAGCTATGAAGATTCAAAGTTCATGAGCTTGCGTTACAATTGCGGCGGTTACAAAGTGAAGTTGTGGGGTGACTCTATATGGAGTTGGGACCTTTGGGGGTTTGGGAAATTTGTCACTCACTGTAACAGCTGCAAATTGGTTGGGAACAACCAAGCTAGGTTGGCAAGGGTGGCCAACTTGGATGGATTGGTTGGGAAGGGACAAATGTCAAAGTTGGGGTTCCTATAGGGAGGGAATCTTTGTGCTTATGGGGTTTCCTTGGTTGGGGACTCTCTTGGGACCTTCCCTCTCATCCCTCTCTTCCTATCCCAACCTTTCTCTTGCTCCTTCTAATTCCTTGTGAGATTCTTGAACTTTGATTGAACCTTTGAGATTGAGTTAAGTTCTCCTCCTACAGCTTACCCCCTAGTGCGTCGAAAGCCATAGCGTCGCGAATACTTTATCAATCAACATGATTCAAATTGGGAACGGTAGCTGAGATTAAGAGCTACAACATATCCAAGTTTCGCGACATTCCAACGGCTAGTTGTTTGTCGACGTCGTTTCTTGTGAAGACGACTTTTCTGTCCAGAATTTCGGATTTATATTTTGAGTAATTCTAGCTCCTAAGTTCACCTAGACTCCGTCCTTAATCCTAACAAGTGGTATCAGAGCAATATTAAGGACATTGAGAGGAGTCTACAGAAGTGTGAAGACCCTTCTAGACCCACCATGGCCTGTGGGTGTGCCTAAGTGGTGTTCTAAAGGTTGGATGTGTCTTCCGCTAAGGGGAAACTCTGCCGAAATTTCGTGGACGCCGACACTTGTGAAAATATCGAGGGAGCTGAGTGTGGACAGCAAAGGGGAGCTGAAATTCGTCATTTCTCAAGGAGAAGATGAATGAGAGAGGAGGAGATGCTAATGGAAGAGGAGCTGTAGCTGAGAAGACAAGTGAGCCGCCGCCATCAAAAGTTGAAGCTTTGGATGGCTCCAACTATAGGAATGGAGCGGACGGATGAGGAGTGCCTTCAAACGCTACAAGCTACTGAAGATTGCTGTTGGGGAAGAGAAGATGCCGGAAGAAGGCGAAGCACGTGAACGGTGGATTGAGAAAAGCGCGGTGCTTTTCGACCTCATCCTTCAATCGGTCAACAAGGAGATGTTCGAGCACATCAAGGATCTTGTGGAAGCGGATGATTCGGGTCCAAGGGCGTGGAAACTACTACGCGATGTGATTCAGCCCAACACTCTCCCGATGGTGATCGTGCTCGAGAAGGAACTTGCTGCCATCTCCATGCGACCAGGGGACGATGTGAAGCCGTCCTTGACAAGATCAAGGACACCTATGCAAGGATGGCAGCAGCGGGCAGCAGTGTATCTCAGCTGCAGCAGTGCACCAAGATCATCTCGGTGTTGGACAACTCTTGGGACAACCTCATCCCCACCCTCAACTCTCAGCAAGATCAATGGACACCTGAGTGGCTAAGGCAGCAGATTCTGCAGGAGGACTTCCGCAGACGCCATGTGGGAGGCGGTGCTGCCACTAAGACTGCTGAGGGGTATGGAGCTGCAGGGCGCGGCAGAGGAAGAGGGGGTTGGAGAGGCCGAGGCCGTGGGAGAAGCTTTGGCAGAGGTAGAGGCCGAGGTGACTATAATGAGGGGCATGGGAGCTCCAGTGGCAGGGGGAGTACCAGAATGGAGGGCACCTGCTGGTACTGCAAGAAGGTCGGGCATCCTTGGTTCAAGTGCTTCAGCAGGCCGGAGGGATGGTCACCTCCAGGCATGAAGCCGCCAAGTGGTGAACGCGCACAAGGTGGCGCTGTGCAAGGCTCAGGTGCACAAGGTGAAGGTGCACAAGGTAACGCCTATCCTGGGATGTATCTATGGTTGAGGATGTGCATGGGCATGAGGGTGATGTGGGATCAGTGGGAAAGGTTGTGATGCACCCTCTCACACACTGGGTGATTGATTCAGGGTGCACCAGTCACATGACCCACGGGCAGATTTGCTTGATGAGGTAAAACCCCCTGGGAAGATCAAGTATGTGGCAGCAGCGTCAGGTGCTTTGCTCCCTGTGATTGGTGTTGGGAATGCCAAGGTTAAGGGAGCTAATGGGGAGCTTGTGGGGCTTGGGAATGTTCTGCTGGTTGAAGGCTTGTCTGCTAACCTTCTCTCTGTGCGACGACTGCAGAAGAGCAAGGCCGAAGGACCTTTGGACCAACCAGCTGCCGTGCTAAGCTTGGGAAGAAGGTGCTGTGGAGTCTGGAAGAGGAGACCAGCTGCATCAAGGACCTGTGGCAGCTGCCCATCATCCCATGGAATGGGAAGACTCCAACAGCAGCAACGGCAGCAGCGGCAAAGGCAACAGCAGGAAGAGATGCAACTGCACCAACTGATGGGGTCCTGGAAGCAGTCAAGAAAGTGCAGCAGCAGCAGACACATGGCGAGGTGCTTGCTGGTGTGGATGCGAGTGCGGCATGGGCTAAGGCTTCATCAAGGAGTGGAGAGGCCGATTGGGAGACATGGCATGAGAGGCTGTGTCATGTGAACTTCCCTATGCTGCAGAAGTTGGTGAAGGATGGGAGCCTGAAGGGCTTGGAGGTGAAAGGGGGAGTGAAGGAGATTGGGAGCTGCCCTACATGCTTGGAGACCAAGTTCTCCAAGTTCCCCTTCAACAGCACTACAGGACCAGCCAAGACCCCACTTGCACTTGTGCACATGGATGTGGTGGGGCCCACAAGAGCGCCTTCCCTCTCAGGCAGCCGCTATTTCTTGACAATTGTGGATGACCACACTCGGGCAGTGTGGGTTTACCCTTTGAAGAGCAAGGGGGAGGTGGCAGCGGCTGTCCTTAAGGAGTGGATGCCTAGAGCTCAGAGGGAATGCGGATACAAGGTGAAGGTGATCCGCAGTGACAATGGTGGGGAGTTCATTGGAGCTGATTTTGAGGGGGAGTTGAAGAGGAAGGGGATCCAGCATCAACTGACAGTGCCCTACAACCCGCAGCAGAATGGCGTGGCTGAGAGGTTCAACAGGACCCTGCAGGAGGGGGCACGCACTCTCCTTGGGCGTGCAGGGCTGCCTGATCCGTTTTGGGTGTCTGCACTGAGGCAGGTCGCCCTTGTGAAGAACAGGGTGCTGGCTACAGTTGGAGATAAGGAGTGGATCCCATATGTCAAGTGGTATGGGAGTGCTCCAGCTGTGAACATGCTGAGGGCATTTGGGTGCATGGTGGTGTTTCATGTGCCTAAGGAGAAAAGGGGGAAGTTGGAGGCTTCTGGAAGATGGGGTGTGCACTTGGGGATTGCAAAGGATCACAAGGGGTGGCTGCTATGGGACTTGACCACCCAGAAGTTGACAGTGTCAAGGGATGTGAAGTTTCTTGAGTCCCTGTACTACAAGGAATGGAAGCAGCAGCAACAGAAGCTTCCATCTACACCGCTCATTGTGGAGGCAGATGAGGTGCAGCACCCTTCAAGACAGGTGGAGGTTGCAGTGTCAGAGGAGGAGATGTCTGGGGTGACTGAGGAAGGGGGAGCAGCTGAAGTAGAGCAGCAGCAGCAGCAGCATGAGTCTCCACCTCGAGTTCCACACCCGCCTGAGCGTCCTAGGAGGGATGTGCGCCCTCCAGTGAGGCTGACCTATGGGGGAAGAGGCAAGCCAAATGTGGTGCAGGCTGGGAGTGTGGTTGAGCAGATTGAGGAAGATGAGATCGCTCACTGCTACTGGGCACCAATCCCTGAGCCCAAGACTCGAGAGGAGGCTTTGAATGGACCAAATGGGGAGAAGTGGAAGGCGAGTGAGGATGAGGAGTTCGGGTCCCTAATTGAGAACGAGACATGGGACCTGTGTGACTTGCCTCCTGGAAAGAAGGCAATCACTTCCAAGATGATCTACAGGCACAAGTATGGACCTGAAGGGGAGCTGACCCGCTACAAGTCCAGGCTTGTGGCAAGGGGGTTTCAGCAGACAAAAGGGAAGGACTATGATGAGGTGTTTGCTCCTGTGGGGAAAGGAACAACACTGAGGGTGCTGTTAGCGATAGCTGCACTCCTGGGATGGAAGATACGGCAGATGGACATTGTGACTGCTTTTCTGAATGGGATCATTATGGAGGAGGTGTACATGAAGCAGCCAGAGGGGCTGGATGACGGGAGCGGCAGGGTCTGCAGGCTGAAGAAGGCCATCTATGGCCTTAAGCAGGCGCCTCGTGCATGGTATCACAAGTTGGAGGAGGCGCTGTTGGCTGGGGGTTTCAAGAAGAGTGAGTGTGACCCCAGCCTGTTCCTGCTGCAGGAGAAGGATGAAATCCTCATGCTCTTGGTGTATGTGGATGATATCCTTCTCTTTTCTGCATCAACTGCTTTGCTGGACAGCGCAGAGCAGATGCTGGAGATGCAGTTCAAGTGCTCCAAGATGGGTGAGGTGAAGTACTACTTGGGGATGCACGTGGAGAGAGATGTGGAAAAGGGTGTGCTGAGGTTGCACCAGAGGAAGTACTGTGAGGGGCTGGCTGAGAAGTATGGGCTGCAAGATGGGGGAAAGCCAGCAACACCACTACCTTCAGGGTTTACTGTGGAGCCATGTGCTGATGAGGAGGTAGTGGGTGATAGTGACAGGAAGCTGTTTCATTCGATGGTTGGGTCGCTGAATTATGCTGCAAATCATACACGGCCTGACATTGCATTTGCTACATCACGATTGGCTAGTGTGGTCTCACGCCCTAGTCATGAGCAGCTGGAAGCGGCCAAGAGGTTGGTCCGCTATGTGAGCGCTACGGCATCAGTGGGATTGGAGTACAGTGGAGTGAGGCAGCGGTTGCAGAGAGGTGCTGCAGATGTGAAGAGTGGAGAGATGCTCTTGAGTTGCTATACTGACGCTAGCTTCAACTCAGTGAAAGCGGATGGCACCAGCATTGGGGGTTATGTGTGCTTGCTAGGAGGTGGTGCTGTGAGCTGGCGCAGCAAGAAGCAGAATGAGGTGGGATTGTCCTCATGTGAGACTGAGTACATGGCCTTACACCATGGGGCCAAGGAAGTAGTGTGGCTAAGGCGTTTGTTGGAGGAGTTGGGAGTTGGTCAGGAGAAGCCGACAGTTGTGTTTTGTGACAATGAGTCCGCTGTGAAGCTCGCCAAGAATGCTTGTCTGCATGGGCTGACAAAACACATAAGGCCTAAGTGGCATTGGGTGAGGAGACTCCTTGATAAGGAGGTGCGGCTGGAGATAGTGAAGACCCATCAGCAGGCAGCAGATATTTTCACCAAGCGTCTGGCGGAGGCGGATCATTGGAAGGGCATGAAGCTTGCTGGGATGAGTGTGCATTGAGTATGCATGCTTGAGATGTTGGTATGGTGGATGATGGTTGGCAGCCAGAGGGGGAGATTGTTGTGTGATGTCATCATATGCTATCACATTCTGTCTGCCTCCCATCCCATATTTTTTCAACTTGCATGTGTGGTTTGAACGTGTGCAAGAATTTGTGTGTGATGTGTTCTGGAGTTTGGGAATGTGTTTTGTGTTATTTTGTTTGAGCAGGTTTTTTGTGATGATAGATCTTGAGAAGATCTTTCCGACGCAACGAGAATCCCTTCAATCGGAGCAAGAACGCGAAAGCTATGAAGATTCAAAGTTCATGAGCTTGCGTTACAATTGCGGCGGTTACAAAGTGAAGTTGTGGGGTGACTCTATATGGAGTTGGGACCTTTGGGGGTTTGGGAAATTTGTCACTCACTGTAACAGCTGCAAATTGGTTGGGAACAACCAAGCTAGGTTGGCAAGGGTGGCCAACTTGGATGGATTGGTTGGGAAGGGACAAATGTCAAAGTTGGGGTTCCTATAGGGAGGGAATCTTTGTGCTTATGGGGTTTCCTTGGTTGGGGACTCTCTTGGGACCTTCCCTCTCATCCCTCTCTTCCTATCCCAACCTTTCTCTTGCTCCTTCTAATTCCTTGTGAGATTCTTGAACTTTGATTGAACCTTTGAGATTGAGTTAAGTTCTCCTCCTACAGCTTACCCCCTAGTGCGTCGAAAGCCATAGCGTCGCGAATACTTTATCAATCAACATGATTCAAATTGGGAACGGTAGCTGAGATTAAGAGCTACAACATATCCAAGTTTCGCGACATTCCAACGGCTAGTTGTTTGTCGACGTCGTTTCTTGTGAAGACGACTTTTCTGTCCAGAATTTCGGATTTATATTTTGAGTAATTCTAGCTCCTAAGTTCACCTAGACTCCGTCCTTAATCCTAACAAGCTTGGCATCGCTTCGCGTAGCTTTGCTTAGCTTTGCTTCGCTTCGCTTAGCTTCGCTTCGCTTCGCTTAGCTTTGCCTAGCTTTGCTTAGCTTCGCTTAGCTTTGCCTAGCTTTGCTTTGCTTCGCTCTGCTTCGCTTCGCTTCGCATAGCTTCGCTTCGCTTCTCTTAGCTTCGCTTTGCTTCGCTTCTCTTAGCTTCGCTTTGCTTCGCTTCAATTAGCTTCGCTTCCCTTAGCTTCGCTTCGCTTCTCTTCGCTTCTCTTTGCTTTGCTTCGCTAAGCTTCGCTTCGCTTAGCTTCGCTTAGCTTTGCTTGGCTTCGTTTGGCATCGCTTACCTTCGGTTCGCTTAGCTTTGCTTGGCTTTGCTTAGCTTCGCTTTGCTTTGATAGCTTCGCTTAGGTTCGCTTAGCTTCCCTTCGCTTCGCTTAGCTTCGCTTCGCATCCCTTAGCTTCGCTTAGCTTCGCTTAGCTTCTCTTAGCTTTGCTTCGCTTAGCTTCGCTTCACATCGCTTCTCTTTGCTTCGCTTCTCTTCGCTTCTCTTCGCTTCGCTTCGCTTAGCTTCGCTTAGCTTCGCTTCGCTTCGCTTAGCTTCGCTTCGCTTTGATTAGCTTCGCTTTGCTTCGCTTAGCTTCGCTTAGCTTCGCTTCGCTTTGATTAGCTTTGCTTTGCTTCTCTTCGCCTCACTTTGCTTCGCTTCGCTTAGCTTCGCTTTGCTTCTCTTAGCTTCCCTTCGCTTCTCTTTGCTTCTCTTAACTTCGCTTCGCTTAGCTTTGCTTTGCTTCGCTTCGCTTCCCTTAGCTTCGCTTCGCTTCGCTTCGCTTCGCTTAGCTTTGCTTCACTTCGGTTAGCTTCGCTTTGCTTCCCTTAGCTTTGCTTCGCTACGCTTTGCTTCGCTTCGCTTCTCTTAACTTCGCTTTGCTTAGCTTCGTTTAGCTTCGCTTCGCTTCGCTTGGCTTTGCTTCACTTCGCTTAGCTTCGATTCCCATCGCTTAGCTTCGCTTCGCTTCCCTTAGCTTCGCTTCTCTTTGCTTAGCTTCACTTAGCTTCGCTTCGCTTCACTTAGCTTCACTTGGCTTCGCTTGGCTTCGCTTAGCTTCACTTTGCTTCGCTTCGTTTAGCTTCGCTACGCTTTGCTTAGCTTCGCTTAGTTTCGCTTAGCTTCGCTTTGCTTCTCTTCGCTTCTCTTCGCTTAGCTTCCCTTCGCTTCGCTTAGCTTCGCTTCCCTTTCCTTAGCTTCAGTTGGCTTTGCTTAGCTTCGCTTGGCTTCACTTAGCTTCGCTTGGCTTCACTTAGCTTCGCTTCGCTTTGCTTAGCTTCGCTTCGCAACTCTTCGCTTCTCTTTGCTTTGCTTCGCTTAGGTTCACTTCGCTTCGCTTAGCTTCGCTTCTCTTTGCTTAGCTTCGCTTAGCTTCGCTTGGCTTTGCTTGGCTTTGCTTGGCTTCGCTTGGCTTCGCATCGCTTAGCTTCGCTTCGCTTTGCTTAGCTTCGCTTAGTTTCGCTTAGCTTTGCTTCGCTTTGCTTACCTTCCCTTCGCTTAGCTTTGCTTCCCTTCGCTTAGCTTTGCTTAGATTTGCTTAGCTTCGCTTAGCTTCGCTTCGCTTCCCTTAGCTTTGCTTAGCTTTGCTTCGCTTCCATCAGCTTTGCTTCGCTACGCTTAGCTTCGCATCGCTTCTCTTAGCTTCGCTTCGCTTCTCTTCACTTCTCTTAACTTCGCTTCGCTTCGCTTTGCTTCTCTTAGCTTCGCTTAGCTTCGCTTCGGTTCGCTTAGCTTCGCTTTGCTTCTCTTCGCTTCACTTCGCTTTGCTTAGCTTCCCTTCACGTCGCTTTGCTTCGCTTAGCCTCACTTTGCTTTGCTTAGCTTCGCTCAGCTTCGCTTAGCTATTTTTCGCTTCGCTTAACTTCGCTTCGCTTCTCTTTGCTGTGCGTAACTTCGATTCGCTTTGCTTAGCTTCCCTTCCCTTAGCTTCGCTTCACTTCTCTTAGCTTCTCTTTGCTTCGCCTAGCTTCGCTTGGCTTCGCTTAGCTACGCTTCACTTCGCTTAGCTTTGCTTAGCTTTGCTTAGCTTCGCTTAGCTTCCCTTCGCTTCGCTTAGCTTTGCTTAGCTTCGCTTTGCTTCCCTTAGCTTTGCTTCGCTCCGATTAGGTTCGCTTAGTTTTGATGGGGGCTTGCTGCACACACCTGCGACACGATGGACACTTCACACTCGACAAAATAGAAATAACACATGCGACACGCAAACGACGACTTGACATGCCAGTTGTAAAAACTCGCTAATGTCTTGACCGACACAAACCACATTGTGATACACCATTCAAACACACACACAAGCACTGGATAGCAATGACATAGACTCACAATTCATTCCATGCCATGCATGCACACACACAAGCAAGGACGACAAGCCGAGTGCAAGCCATAGGGTTGCACCAACAAACTCCCCCTCGGATTGTTGGCCTTAGAATCTGCTCCCCTTAGTTCAGAGCCATCCCAGCAAGCTTGCAACACTTCCAATGCTGCTGCTCAACCAGCCTCTTGGTCATCATATCAGCAGGCTGCGCCGTCGTCTTCACGTAGTGCAACTCCACTTCAGCCGCGGTTACCATGCTCCTCACCCAATGCCACTTCACCTTCATGTGCTTGGTAAGGCCATGAAGAACCGGGTTCTTAGCCAATGCAATAGCACCCTGGCTATCACAATAGAGTGGGGTAGGTCCTTGCTGCTCCTCCCCCAATTCAGCTAGCAAACGCCGCTGCCACACAACCTCTCTTATGGCACGGAAGAGTGCCATGTACTCGGACTCCACCGAGCTCAATGCTTGGTCCACTTGCTTCTTGCTCTCCCAAGCTGTTGGCCCTCCACCAACACAGCAGATGAAACCTCCCACACTTGTCATGTCCTCTGGTTCTGATGCCCAAGATGCATCAGAGAAGGCGGTGAGAAAGAGCCTCCCGGGTTCGACTCCATCCGCACCCTTTTGACGTCTTTGTGCCGCCGCGGAGTATTGCAGTCCAACAGTTGCTGTTTGGCCAAGGTACTTGGCCACCCTCTCTCCAGCTGCTACCTGCTCCTCATTAGGGCATTGGACAACCCTAGCCAGCTGCCCGGTAGAAAAGGCTGCATCCGGCCTTGTGTGAATGGCCGCATACATGAGGCTGCCCACCAAGGAGTGAAAACGGCGCCTCTCCTCTTCACCAACACTTTCCTCCGCTGGTCCTTTCACACACTTGAACCCTGAGGTAAGAGGAGTAGCCACATGACCTTCACTCTTCCCAAAGTTTGCAGCCAAGGCCTCCAAGTACTTCTTTTGATGCACTCGCATCCACCGCTTCTCCACATCTCGCTCAATGTGAAGCCCAAGGTAGTAGTTGACGTCACCAAGGGTCTTGCACTTGAACTTGTCTTGAAGCTTCAGCATCACCTCCTTCACAAGGTCAGAGGAGGGTGAGAATATGAGGATGTCATCCACATAAACCACCATGAAGCTCCTCTGCTCCCCCTCGCCAAGCATGAACAAGGATTGATCGGCCGTTGAGGGAGTGAAGCCGATCGCCTCCAAGACTTCCCGCAGCTTGATGTACCATTGCCTAGGGGCTTGCTTGAGGCCATAGAGTGCTTTCTTCAGCTTCCACACTCTGCCACTCCCATCATTGTACCCCTCTGGCTGCTCCATGTAGGTCTCTTCCTCCAAAACGCCATTGAGGAAGGCCGTTACTATATCCATTTGCTTCACCACCCATCCCTTGATGGCCGCCGCGGCGAAGAGGGTTCGAAGGGTTGTACCCTTCACCACAGGGGCATACACTTCATTGTAGTCCTTCTTCTCTTGCTGCTGATACCCCTTGGCTACAAGTCTGCTCTTGTAGCGCTCAATATTGCCGTCGGCGTCGGTCTTGCGCTTGAAGAGCCACTTGGAAGAAATCGCCTTACGCCCCGGAGGTAGGTTCACCAAGTCAAACGTGTTGTTCTCGATGATGCTCCCCATTTCTTCATCTGAGGCCTTCTTCCACTCCTTCCCATTGGGGCCCTCCCAAGCCTCCTTGGGATTTGTAGGCTCCCCCGGTATCTCCACCGGAGAGAAGAAGGCAAAAGCGCACTCCTCGCTTTCATCTTCCGCATCATCACCTAGCATGAGAGCCGAACCGGTCAAGGTTGAGTTGGCTGGTCCTCCAAGCCGTTCATAGCTCAACCTATTGGGGGGCTGAGTCCTCCTTCTCCCCCTTCCTTCCTCCTCTGCTGCAGGGACTTGAATGCTCTCATGGCGTTGCGGCAAATCTGGTCGGTTTCCTCGAGCACTTGTAGCACGAGGCGGAAGTGACGGTGCACGCTCATCACCTTGCTGCACCTCCTCCTCCTCTTCTCCCCCATTCATTTGAGGAGATTGCCTTGTGATAGTGCTGCTGCTACTCAGCTCCAAGGGCAGCTCCACATGCTCCAAGCCGGTACTCTTCACCTCTCCAAGCCGCACACCAATCTTCGCTTGGTTCTCCGCCTTCCACTCCTTGTACGGTAAGTTCTCCATGAACTTGCAATCTCTGCTCACCAGGAACTTCTTGGTAAATGGGTCCCAAAGAAGCCATCCCTTGCTGTTTTGAGCCATGCCCAGGTGCACGGCCCATGTTGCCTTGGCATCAAGCTTGTTGTGCCGAAGTTTCTTAGGCACAAGTGCCATGCACATGCACCCGAACACCCGAAGCATATCCACCTTCAGCTTCCTTCCAATCCACTCCACATAGGGCACC